TAGCAACGAACCTACCCCATGCTTTATTGCAAAATGAGCTTTTGTTGAGAGGGCGCAATGAGAACTCGTGAACAGTGTCAAACAACACGTCCTGCATTACGAGCGGCCTGAACTTGCCTCTTTTTTCCAAACGAAAGAGCCCCGTCAACAGCACGTCAAACTTCAAGATATCGTTTGGCCGTGGCGCTTTCCGATCGTCCAAGGACTTGTAATCTCCGAGTTCAAACAGCATCGCATTTTCTGTGGCCTCCACATACTCTCTGAACACTGCCTTTATATCTTCGGTGGGGGTGAAAGGAATCACTTTGCTTGTATCGTCGGCTTTGGAACCAAACGACATCGCCAGTATCAGCAGCACGAGGTACATCAATAAAGTATGAATGCACGTAGCGACAACACAAAGTCAAGTTATTGATTCCGAGAAATTGTATCGTGTAAGTTCAAGAAAGTAGAGTACGGATATTGACCGAAATAAGGAACGGCTTGAGGTGAAATGGCTTGGCTACGAGATGCGAGCGAACCTGTTCCGAAGTCTTGACGCCTCGCTTGTCCCCACTACCCCATCGAGGTCCAGGCGTATACGTGTAATACATCATATGTGATCTATTAACAATGAAACGCGTATATCAACTATAATACATCATATCGTAATATATTATTAAGTTCAACATTGAATCATGAACTCTTTCATATTTGATGTATAATGAGACAGGCGCGCGCGTATGTTGAAGACTTCACGATCGTGAACTTCTTCACGATCCGGAGTCTCAGGGACCCCAGCACGACCAGACCCCAGCACGACCCCACCCCAGCACGACCCCACCCCAGCACGACCATACCCCAGCACGACCACACCCCAGCACGACCCGACCCCAGCACGACCCTACCCAGCAAGACCACACCCCGGCACGACCACTCCCCAGCACGACCTCAACGCACCAGCACGACCAACACCCCAGCACGACACGCCCTCACGCCCTCAGCACGACCACGCCCCAAACCGAACACGAAGGCCCCAGGCAATACCACCCCCCAGCACGACCACCCCCCCAGCACGACCACCCCCCAGCAACGACCACACCCCAGCACGACCACACCCCACCCGACCACTCCCCAGCAGACCACACCGCCAGCACGACCACAACCCAGCGACTACCACACACAGCACGACCACACCCCAGCACGACAACACCCCAGCAACGACCCGATCGATAAATCACAGGGTGCGGAGCCCCCAGCACAGAAACCACCCCAGCACGACCCCACCGCAAGCACGACCCCACCCCAGCACGAACACGCCCCAGCATGAAACACACCCCAGCACGAAGGACACCACCCCCAGCACGCCAACTCCCCAGCACGACCCCCCACCCCAGCAACGACCCCACCCTAGCACGACAACAAAACCCCAGCACGACCACACCCCCAGCACGACCCCTACCCACCACAAAAAAAAGCGGAATACAGCACGATAGACCCCAGCAAAGCACGACCCCACCGCCATCAAGACCAACAACCCAGCACTACCGCACCCAGCCGACCTTACCACAGCACGACACACCCAAGCACGACCACGCCCCAGCACGACCACACCCCAGCACGACCACGCCCCAGCACGACCACGCCCCAGCACGACCACGCCCCAGCACGACCACCCCCCATCACGACCACCCCCCCAGCACGACCACCCCCCAGCACGACCACCCCCCAGCACGACCACACCCCAGCACGACCACTCCCCAGCACGACCACACCGCCTTGGTTGAGTGGTTGCCTGTCGTCGTGGAATGTTTCGTGGGGTGTCTCGTGGAATGTTTCGCGTGGTGTCTCGTGAAATGTTTCGTGAGGTGTCTCGTGGAATGTTTCGTGAGGTGTCTCGTGGGCTGTTTCGTGAGGTGTCTCGTGGGATGTTTCGTGAGGTGTTGCCCAGTTGGGTATCATGAAAACGTGTCCATGCTCCACATGTCTATATCCCTTTCCGGGTTCGTGGGTCCATCATGTAGTGGGTAAACCTGTCCCCCGGTGCCAAGTTGAAGGAGGCCGGCGAATTTTTTCCCTGATAAATAACGAGGTCGAAGGAGGCCGGCGAATTAAAATTTGAGGATGTCTCGAGCGAAACGCTTGTTTTTGAAATCCCGATCGATAAATCACAGGGTGCGGGCCACTTTTTCGTGTGTTGAGGATGTCTCGAGCGAAACGCTTGCTCCGCAGAGTTCGCCGAGGATGTCTCGAGCGAAACGCTTGTTTTGCAGAGCCGACCGCGACGCGGAAAAACGCCCCGCGCGAAGGAATTTCGATGATGTTTCGACTAATTTGTTTGTTTTTGTACGATTTCCTTGAATTTTGGCAGGATGTCTCGAGCGAAATGCACGACCCCACCCTAGCACGACCATACCCCAGCACGACCACACCCCAGCACGACCAGACCCCAGCACGACCCCACCCCAGCACGACCCCACCCCAGCACGAACATACCCCAGCACGACCACACCCCAGCACGACCCGACCCCAGCACGACCCTACCCCAGCAAGACCACACCCCAGCACGACCACACCCCAGCACGACCTCACCACAGCACGACCACACCCCAGCACGACCACGCCCCAGCACGACCACGCCCCAGCACGACCACGCCCCAGCACGACCACCCCCCAGCACGACCACCCCCCCCCCCAGCACGACCACCCCCCACACGACCACCCCCCAGCACGACCACCCCCCAGCACGACCACCCCCCAGCACGACCACCCCCCAGCACGACCACACCCCAGCACGACCACACCCCAGCACGACCACACCCAGTCGCACCCCCGTGGAATGTTTCGTGGCGTGTCTGGTTGAGTGGTTGCCTGTTCGTGGGGTGTCTCGTGGAATGTTTCAAAGGGTGTCTCGTGGAATGTTTCGTGAGGTGTCTCGTGGAATGTTTCGTGAGGTGTCTCGTGGGACGCCACGCCCCAGCACGACCACGCCCCAGCACGACCACCCCCCAGCACGACCACCCCCCCAGCACGACCACCCCCCAGCACGACCACACCCCAGCACGACCACACCCCAGCACGACCACTCCCCAGCACGACCACACCCCAGCACGACCACACCCCAGCACGACCACACCCAGTCGCACCCCCGTGGAATGTTTCGTGGCGTGTCTGGTTGAGTGGTTGCCTGTTCGTGGGGTGTCTCGTGGAATGTTTCACGGGGTGTCTCGTGGAATGTTTCGTGAGGTGTCTCGTGGAATGTTTCGTGAGGTGTCTCGTGGGATGTTTCGCGGGGTGTCTCGTGGGATGTTTCGTGAGATGTCGCCCAGTTGGGTATCGTGAAAACGTGACCATGCTGCACATGTCTTTATCCCTTTCCGGGTTCGTGGGTCCATCATGTTCCCGGAAAGGGCGCGGGCCCAGGGTTCTCTTTTAGTAGGTAAAACCTGTCCCCCGGTGCCAACTTGAAGGAGGCCGGCGAATTTTTTCCCTGATAAATATCGAGGTCGAAGGAGGCCGGCGATTAAAATTTGAGGATGTCTCGAGCGAAACGCTTGTTTTTGAAATCCCGATCGATAAATCACAGGGTGCGGGCCACTTTTTCGTGTGTTGAGGATGTCTCGAGCGAAACGCTTGCTCCGCAGAGTTTGCCGAGGATGTCTCGAGCGAAAAGCTTGTTTTGCAGAGCCGACCGCGACGCGGAAAAGCGCCCCGCGCAAAGGAATTTCGATGATGTCTCGACTAATTCGTTTGTTTTTGTACGATTTCCTGGAATTTTGGCAGGATGTCTCGAGCGAAATGCACGACCCCACCCTAGCACGACCATACCCCAGCACGACCACACCCCAGCACGACCAGACCCCAGCACGACCCCACCCCAGCACGACCCCACCCCAGCACGACCATACCCCAGCACGACCACACCCCAGCACGACCCGACCCCAGCACGACCCTACCCCAGCAAGACCACACCCCAGCACGACCACACCCCAGCACGACCTCACCACAGCACGACCACCCCCAGCACGACCACGCCCCAGCACGACCACGCCCCAGCACGACCACGCCCCAGCACGACCACCCCCCAGCACGACCACCCCCCAGCACGACCACCCCCCAGCACGACCACACCCCACGACCACGCACCACTCCCCAGCACGACCACACCAGCACGACCACACCCCAGCACGACCACACCCAGTCGCACCCCCGTGGAATGTTTCGTGGCGTGTCTGGTTGAGTGGTTGCCTGTTCGTGGGGTGTCTCGTGGAATGTTTCACGGGGTGTCTCGTGGAATGTTTCGTGAGGTGTCTCGTGGAATGTTTCGTGAGGTGTCTTGTGGGATGTTTCGCGGGGTGTCTCGTGGGATGTTTCGTGAGATGTCGCCCAGTTGGGTATCGTGAAAACGTGACCATGCTGCACATGTCTTTATCCCTTTCCGGGTTCGTGGGTCCATCATGTTTCTGTTGATCTTAACGTGTTTGAAGCCATGTCCAGGACGAGCGAATGACTTCGCGTTCAGTGCCTTGTGCTCAATGCTTAAAAAAGCGATCGCCCAACTGAGGTCCCACAAGGGTTCAGACAGGGCCCAAGACGGGCCCAGATGCCCCCAGTAAGCCCTCCAAGCGCCCAAGGGCCCAAGCGGCCCCAGGATAGCTCCGAACCGTGAAGAGGCCAACAGGTCCACCTGTGCTTGACGCCACGCTGGTCACAACATGGCCCTGGGAGGGCTAGGCGGCCCCAGGAGAGCCGCAAACGGGCCCAAACAGAGTCCCAACAGGGCCCCAAGAGCACACCATACGAGCTTCAAAAGAGTCCCGAAGTAGAAGGGAGATGTCTCGCCAAACCACCTACGCCCAGCGGGTTGGGGGGATTAGGTAATTCACCGCGTTGTCGCGGCGATGTACTTTCAACTTGCCACCATTGTGGCTCAAGCTTTTTGTTGAGGTGGGCGTGATTGGGCACCGCCACGCTGAGGTTGCCCAGGAGCACATTTGCTCGGTGCCGCTCTTCCTGCGGTCATGGCACAAGGCAGCTTCCGGCGAGTGCAGGTTGTGGAGGTCGACGAGTCGGACGACGACCGGAGGGTCCCAAAAGGGGGACAGGGAGTTCGGAAATCGCTGCACGCAGCCGTTTCCAGCCTCGCTGCCCCGGGTGGCCCCCGCCGCGCAGGGGCGCGCTCGGCAGCTCGGGGTTTGTGTACAATGTTGATGGCTCCTCTTGTGCGTGTGGATATGCAATTTGTTGTTGGAGTCCGTCGAAGGTATCCCACTTAGGCGTTAGCGCCCACTAGCGTCCGCTAGTGCGAGTAAGCGCTCATGATCTTTTTACCCGTTGGCGCGGGAAGTTCTGGGGAGCGTAGTGCGTCAAGGGGGGCCACTGAGCGGTACGATTCGCGAAGATCTTTGTGTTAGAGGTTCTGGGGGTTGTCTAAGAATGATGTGCTGCCGCCCGAGGGGGTCACTTAATGCGGAGCGATGCTCGAACAGGACATGTAGAGGCACGACATACATATTGATATTCGGACCCATTTGCTCTCCCGTTTTGATGGCCCCCCTTGCGGACCACTTGTGCAGAAGGCATTTGTACACCACCACCCTGCCTGACCACTGCCATCCTGGGTCCTAGCATTGTGTATAGACCCTCTTGGCCTCGACCAGGAGGGCATATACGGCGTTCCGCGGTCCAGCATGGCCCTGGCCACACGGTGGCGGTGTATAGGATCTTTCTGCGTATTTGTTGGCCCCTTCCCCTTTCCTAACCCTTTGAGTTTTCTGCCGCCGAGAGGACGCACAGGAGTGCGCGCCCGAGCCGTCAGCGGACATCCAGATCGAGGCCACCTGGGGCGGAACTGCCAGGGGATCGGAATGCAGCAGCCGGTCCGCAGCCGAGAGTGCTCGCAGGTGCCTGCTTCCACAGAAGGCATTCCTACACCGCGGTTCCTGCCCTGCGCTCTTCCAGGCTAGACTTAAGTCGGGCCTGTCCCTCTACAGGTGGAAAATTCAAAAATAGTCAAATAATAGTCTGGGGACTATTTTTTGCGGTTTTTTGTTATCTTTTTAGCATTTTTTGAATCCGTAAGGGCTTCGCCCCCTGCCGCCGGCCCCCTCTCTCGGAGAATGGGCCATGGAAGAGCTAAGTCATGAGGCCTTGGCGCTGTCGTGAAGCAGTATCGAAACTTCATGCGAAGCCGATTCGCAATCAGCAAAACCAACTGATCACAAGAGGGGTTACCACACCTGGCGATTGGTAAGACGTGTATGGTTTACGGGCTTGGTTACCACACCTTGCGATTAAAGGGCCGAGGGAGTTCTCGCAGTTTGGGTTACCACGCCTTGCGATGGATGTGCGTGAAGGGTGGCACCGAATTTCAGAAATGTGGCAAATCCCCTATGTTTTTGGACCCTGACCCCGCGGATCTGCGTGAGGGGTGGCACCGAATTTCAGAAATGTGGCAAATCCCCTGTGTTTTTGGACCCTGACCCCGCGGATCTGCGTGAGGGGTGGCACCGAATTTCAGAAATGTGGCAAATCCCCTGTGTTTTTGGACCCTGACCCCGCGGATCTGCGTGAGGGGTGGCACCGAATTTCAGAAATGTGGCAAATCCCCTGTGTTTTTTGGACCCTGACCCCGCGGATCTGCGTGAGGGGTGGCACCGAATTTCACAAATGTGGCAAATCCCCTGTTTTTGGACCCTGACCCTGCGGATCTGCGTGAGGGGTGGCACCGAATTTCAGTAATGTGGCAAATCCCCTGTGTTTTTGGACCCTGACCCCGCGGATCTGCGTGAGGGGTGTGGATTTCGAGCCCCCCCAGCAATTCAGACAACGCGCCCAGGAGATGCTAAAATGCCACTTTGGGCCTCCCCCCCCTCGCGCGGTCAATCAACTAGTTACAGTAACCAGCAAAAAGTTAACTAGTTACAGTAACCAGCAAGAAGCAGAACTGTAACGCTGGAAACTACAAGCTACAACTGGTACAGGAAACTGCGAACCTCGCTCCTACAGCCTGGTGGCCCCACAAGGGGGCCGGCGGATATTTTTCATTTTTCCTCCAAAATCCCCCTGTATGGGGGACAGGCCCGACCTAAGGCTAGACCTCGCTGCTACCTGGGGGGGCTGTTCCCCTCCGCTGTCGGCCCCTTCTCGCCGGCTGCAGGGAGGTCCTGCCGAGCTGTGTCTTTGACGCACAGCCAGGCAGTACCTCGGGGCTCCCGGGAGGGGCCGCCGCCCGCGCAGCAGCCGCCACCCTCCGTGGGCTCCTGGGAGGCCCAGCGGAGCTGCGTCCCACGCACACCCAGGCTGGGCCCTGCGGCTCTCTCCTGGGCCTGCCGCCTAGGTAAGTGTGGCCACACTGGTGGGCTCCTGGGAGGTCCAGCGGAGTGGCTTCCTGCGCGTACGTGTCCAGTCTAGACGTGGCGGCTACCTGGGGGCTGCCACCTGCCCCATTGTCGCCCCGTTTCGCGGACTGCTGGGACGTCATGCGGAGCGGCGGCCTGCAGACTGCGGCTCCCCGGTGGGGCCCAGGGGAGTGACGTCTCACGCACACCCGGACTAGACCTCGCGGCTACCCGGTTGGGGCAGGGGCTACAGCCACCTGCGCAACTAACGCCACGCTCGTCGTCGCCAATTTCGCTGTCGCATGGGATGTCTAGAGTCTAGCAGGATGGTGCCCTACGCGCACCCAGGCTCGACCTCGCAGTTCCTTGCCACACTGCCCCCTCGCAGTTGTCGCCACTTTCGCGGGCTTGTGGAGCGCCCAGCGGAGTGATGTTCTACTTACGGCCAGACTGGGCCTCGCGTCCTCGAGAGCTGCCACTTGCGCAACTAGATTCACTCTCGCTGGCTCCTACGAGGTCCGTCGGAGTTTGAGTCCTACGCGCACCCAGACTGTGGGGAGGGGGTGGGGGCTGCCGCCTTCGCAAGTGTCGCCGCTCTCGTAGATTGCCAGGAAGTCCTGCGGAGTGGTGTCCTACACGCACCTTGACTGGACCTCGCGGCTCTTTGAGGGGCTGTCAACTGCGCAAGTGTCGCCATTGTCGCGGTTCCTGGGAGGTCCAGCAGCGTGGTGTCCCACTCACATCCAGACTAGACCTCGCGGCTCCCTGTAGGGGATGTCACCTGTGGAACTGTGGCCACATTCGTGGGCTCTTGGGACGTCCAGCCGAGTCGTGTCCTACGTGCACCCAGGTTAGACCTCGCGTCTCCCTTGGGAGCTGCCACCTGCTCAACTGTCGCCACGTTCGTGGGCTCCGTGGGGGTCCAGCGGCGTGGTGTCCTGCGCAAATCCAGGCAAAATATCACATCTCCCTTTGGGGGCTGCCAGCTGCGCAACTATCGCCTCGTTCGCGGGCTCCTAGGAGGTCCAGCGGGTCTGGGACACTCATTTTCGTTAACGGTGGCCCATCGGACCCGCAGGACAAATAGTGTCGTTTATAGCCGCTCCCTTCTCTCCTTGCAAGGCATCCCCTGAATTCGGACACCACTTTGCCATTCTCGTTTGCCGTCGTTTCCCACCCTTCATGCCAGATATCCGCGGAGGGCGGCTACTAATTGGCACCAGCGGTGGTCAATCGGACCCAACTCTTTCAAAGCTGCCTCGTGAATGGTTTAACGCGTAAGCCCCACACGCAGCGTTCACAACATGTTGTGTTCCTTTTCATGTTACTGGTCGCGTAATGCGGGCCACTGGTATAGTCACTTGTTGAGTTTGCATACTCGTGGAGTGGTTCGGGTGCCAACAGCTCACTTGTAGCCTGTCTAGTCGCGCCATGTTCATGTGTTGTCGGACACCTTCAGAGCGCAATACCGATCTCAAGACACAGTTGTCCTCTTGGAGGCTTGGAGGCCCTAGGCGCTTCCAGGGGCTTCGAGGGCCCGTGATATGATCTGGTCTGCACCTGGTGTTGTAGAATGATGTTTGACGGCGCTTGTGCTCTGTATCAGCCAGTCGTTTCATGTTCTTAGAGTATCCGCATTCGTCATATCACAGATCTACGGGCACATGAGGGGCCCTGTCTTTCCCGAGTTGGCTCGTCCGTCGTGGTTTGCTCGGCGATGCTGGGCTTGACCTGGTCCGTTCTTGAATTTTACACTCTGGGTTCTCGGGTTACTGTGGACTGGTCCGGGCTGAAAAATCTAGTATGAGACGTTGTTGTTTCTGGGTTTGCCCTTGCATTTCTCTGTGCGGTCCAAACAACGCATGGTAAGACTTGCGTGATCTGATATGGACCCCCAGTGTGCAACCCGTGTGTCTGCATTCGTTGGAGACTGATCTGCGGATGCATGTGCTGTTCTGTCTCCTGCGGTATGTGATCGGGTTGTTTCTCGCTGTGTTTTCGGAGACTTTTCGTGTGGTTTTTTGGCGTTGCTTGGCATAAGCTCTGCCTTGCTTGGCGTTGCTTGGCGTTGCTTGGCGTTGCTTGGCATTGCAAGGACCGCAGGACCCAGGGAATACGACCAGGGAGACAGGACGAAGACTGGGGAATCCGAGAACGGACGGCACGGACCCAGACCGGGGAGCCAAGGAAGCACCGGGGAATCCAAGGAGCAAGACCGGCGAACCCGAGCAACGTCTACATGAAACAAACATTCAGACCAGGTAAGTGATCCTTTTCTTATTTATTGTTTTGCCGATCGGCGTGGGCCCCCCCTCCCCCCCTCCCCCCCCATGGAGTAGATCTTGGCTGCTTTTTGGCGCCCGTTTCGAGCGGGTGGAGTCACCCCCAGAGGCAGCACTCTTGCAAACAGTCGCGCTAAGCAGAGGTCTGGAGCCAGACCCCCCCTCCCACCACCTTTCCGCCCAGAAACGCCGAATAAAAAAACGCTCACCATGTAACCGAGTAAAACCTGGGCTGGCCTCTGAATTGGGGGATTCCACCCACGGGTTCCCGGTTCTTCCCAACACAAGTAAGGATTTCTTCGGCGAAGCATATACAGACCTAGCGTTCTCGAATGACTCTGGCGTCCCAGGCCGTCTTGAGTCTGAGCCGTCGTGCGCCGTCTTTTGGGCCGTCTTGATGCCATCTTGAGGCCGTCTTGAGGTCATACTGAGGCCGTCTTCAGGCCATCTTGGTCCGTCTTGCGCCGTCGTGCGCCGTTTTGTGGTCATCCGGGACCGTCTTGAGGCCATCCTGAGGTCGTTCGTGGACGCCTTCGGGGCATTTTGGAAGCGTCAGAGGCCTCAAATACCGAGCTGGTGGCGACACGCGAGCACCCCCATCCGACGTGCAAGCCTGAAGTCGGGCATGTCCCTCTTCAGGAGCAATATTCAAAAATAGTAGAAAAATAGTATGGGAACGATTATTAGTTTTTTTTGACTATTTCGTGTTTTTCTCCAAAATCTGTCTGTAGGGGGACATGCCCGACCTAATGCAAGCCCAGCATTCTGGGTGGCGACTGTTCGGCAGAGGAGGCCGTGACCTGTGACACCTCATGTTCCCGAGGCTTGGGAGAGAGCCGTAACATGTCAAGCACCCTTCCGCGTCATGTCGGAGGCTTGTGTGGCAGTCTTGGGGGTCCCTTGGGCCACTTTCAGGACTCATTTCGATTCCTCCGATTCCGATTCGATTCGGCTTTTGATTCCGATATGGGATCCAGTTTCTCAATGGAGGCCTACTAGCTTGCCGATTTCCGCCGATTCGACTTTTCCCGACTCGGCTGCCGATTTCCGCCGATCCGATGTATTTCGATCGCCGATCCGACTTCTCGATTCGATTCTGGGCCCTCCTGCACTTTGGGCCGTCTTGGGGCCCGTCTTGGGCCGTCTGGGGTGTCTCTTGGGGCCGTCGTGGGGCCATCCTTGGGCCCTCTTTGACCGTCGAAAGGGCTTTTTC